TTGCCCAGGCTGTAGTGCAGTGGTGCAGTCTCAGCTCACTGCAACCTCTGCCTCCTGGGTTCAAGCAATTCTCCTGCCTCAGCCTCCCAGGTAGCTGGGATTACACGTGCCCACCACCATGCCCAGCTAATTTTTTGTACTTTTAGTAGAGATGGGTTTTCGCCATGTTGGCTAGGCTGGTCTTGAACTCCTGACGTCAGGTGATCCGCCTGCCTCAACCTCCCAAAGTGCTGGGATTACAGGCGTGAGCCACCGCGCCCGGCTCTATGATATACTTTTTTTTTTTTTTGAGACAGAGTCTGTCTCTGTCGCCCAGGCTGGAGTGCAGTGGCCAGATCTCAGCTCACTGCAAGCTCCGCCTCTTGGGTTCACGCCATTCTCCTGCCTCAGCCTCCCGAGTAGCTGGGACTACAGGCGCCCACCACCTCGCCCGACTAGTTTTTTTGTATTTTTTAAGTAGAGACGGGGTTTCACCGTGTTAGCCAGGATGGTCTCGATCTCCTGACCTCGTGATCCGCCCGTCTCGGCCTCCCAAAGTGCTGGAATTACAGGCGTGAGCCACCGTGCCCGGCCTTGATCTACTTTTTAAAAGCTGCCAGTAGCACTTTTAAAAATCTCTACTTGGGCCGAGCACAGTGGCTTATGCTGTAATCCCAGAACTTTGTGAGGCCAAGGCAGGAGGATTGCTTGAGGCTAGGAGGTCGAGGCTGTAGTGAGCTATGATTGCACCACTGCACTCTAGCCTGGACCACAGAGTGAGACCCTGTCTCAAAAAAAAAAAAAAAAAAAAATCCCTACCTAATGATTTTACTCACTGTGTGATGGGGTCCATTGGGCACCTCCGAGGGTCTCCACAATGCTGTCATGCTGCCATGGGGCAGACACCCCAAGCCCTTGTCACCAAGCCCCTCAGCTGCTCCCTTACAGGCTGTTCCCTGTCTGGAGCTGGTGTGAGATCAGGGCTCAGGACCCCAGAATTCCTACTCCATGACCCTTTTCAGGACCCCTACCCTAGTACCCACCCAGTTCTCCTTTGAAATGATCAGACTATGACCTGGGGCGGGCAGGGTCTCCCGGGAGCGCTGGGCACGGCCCATGTGTGTTTGTCGAGTGACTGTGTGAGGGATCTGTAGTGTCCCAAGAGCTGGGGCTGCAGTGTGGCTGAGCTGTGTCCTCGAATTATTGCCTTCAATTTCAGGGAAGACCTAGTGTTGAGACCCCCTCCTCCAGGCTGAGCTCCTGTCATTACCCCACTCCTCCTGGACCCTCCAAGCCCCTGTCCTACCCTTTGGCCTCACTCTGGCCTCACATTGCTGAAGGCATTGAGTTTGGCTGTGAGTCTGCTAATCGGAGGCTGCTAGGGCCTCCTGGGGCTGGGCCTCGTCCGTTATGGGGTAGGCTCCAGAGGAACATGGGCGGAGGGAGAGTTAGATGAGTCACCACCCGCCAGCCTGACTTTTTCTGGTTTTTTTTTTGCAATAGAGTCTTGCTCTGTTGCTCAGGTTGGAGTACAGTACTGCGATCTTGGCTCGCTGCAACCTCCACCTCCTGGGTTCAAGCGATTCTCGTGCCTAAGCCTCCCAAGTAGCTGGGACTACAGGCATGTGCCACCATGCCCGCCTGAGTTTTGTATTTTTTGGTAGAGATGGGTTTTCACCACGTTGGCCAGGCTGGTCTCGAACTCCTGGCCTCAAGTGATCCACCTGCCTTGGCCTCCCAAAGTGCTGGGATTCCAGGCGTGAGCCCCCGCATCTGGCGCTGAGGTTCTTCTTTCCCTGCTCACACACTCTCTGTGGCTCTTCAGGGACCTCCAAAGACCCTCCCATCTCATTGCCCACCCTGAAAGGCATTGCTGGATGGGGACAGGGGACAGAAGGAAGACAGACAAGGTGGGCGGGGGTCTTTATTTGAGTTTGGGCATGATTCGAATGAAGAGGATCATACTGATGAAGATGAAGCAGACGATAATGAGCATGGCCCAGAGGAACCAGTTGACTGACTTCTGTGTGTGCTGCTCCAGCCGCTCTGACTCTGTCTTCAGCTTCTCCAGGTTCTGGTCTGCCATTTTCAGTGAGTGTGACAGGGTCTGCGGGGAAGGTGGAAAGGGTGTCAACAGGACTGGGGCCTGAATAGCTTCTCTCTACTTCCCTGGGGCTGGCCTGCACCTCTTGT